TCCCCTTCCCTTCCACTAGTGGGTGCCCTTGGGACTGTGCAGCTCGCCCAAGGCTAGCCAGGCTGGCTTTTCTCCCTGGAAGGACCAGTGGGGAAGGAGACTCTGAAATCAGAGACTTAAACCAGCCAGAATCCTCTCCAGACTAGCCTGTGTTTCCCCAAAGATTCCTTTTGGGGCTCAACAATTGTGTTAACGGCTCATAACACAAGGACAGCCCTGATTTGGGGGAGTAGCAGAAGCTAAGATGGGAAATGTCACCACTCCGGTTTTTGTTCCGCAGGGTTCTCCTCCATGTCGTATCCAGATGCCACGAGGAAGGCCTCGAACACTACCTAAGGTCTTTCATAAAGGTGAGAGGCCCAGTTCTGGGGGAGAAGACAGAACATAAATTCAAATAAATAAAATAATAATAATAATAATTGATGTAAACAGTTAATATTTTTCTACAGAATACTGTATGTTTTGATCTATGAAGAACTGTGAGTAAATCTGAACCTTTTACTTCTTTTCTGTCAGTGTCTCTGAGTGAGTTATTGAGATAGTAAGTGCCAGTTGAGGAAAACTAAGTAATAAGGTTTGGGCCTGATGAAGGAGACTTGAAGCTAATTCTGCTCTGTTGGTCCCTAAACTTTTTCTACTATGTAGTTGGAGATTTTTAAGACAATAAATTTCCACACTCTGCCAATAAATATTAGGAGGAATAACTTTAAGGGGAAATAGCTTCATGACTGGTTGCTGGGGAAGACAAGATGATGAACTGTATATCTGTGTGACCTAGCATTGTAAAGAAATATGGCATCCTACATTCAGAGAACCAGTGCATTTTCTGTTGATAGTGCCAGCCCATAATTTTTGCTTTCAAAGTAAATGAATGAAACCACAGCTGTGGAAGTAATCAAGCTGAAGCTTCGTTGGCAGGAAATCCATGGTTTTTAAAAAGCTGCAGAGATTCCTTTTCAAGGGAGGTGTGGTCCTTGTTGAAACGTAGCTATATTTCCATCCTTGCTCCTCTAATGTTGCCCACCCATAGTGTCTTCTGCCATGTGTAGCACTCTTCTATGCAAGCACTTTTTAAAGGCTGCTGCTTCCTGAGATGAACCTGAATTGTGGTGGGTGCAAATTATGCACTGGCGATTGGACATAATTTTGTGTTTCTTTGGAAATATCCCAGTAAACCAATAGACAAATTTAGTAGTGACAGTTGTGGACTAATGCAAATTAAGCAAGCAGGGGAAGTAGGGGATCACCAGCCTAAACACCTGTTAAATAAATGAGACGGCATTTAACAAAAAGGCTTGATTCATCTATTGTACTTGCCTTTGAAATGTCTTTCATGTTTTGTCTGGCCCAGAGACCCCTTTTTCTAAAATGTTGCCCTTAAATCCAACTCAGTTACTTCTCTGCTTCCAGAGAGAACTTATTTCCAGCATCCAGTTGAAACTACAGACTCTGTGGGCTGAGAGGGAGCTGATCCAGTCTGAAGTGAAGGAGCATGTGGAGCATGGCAGAGCACTCGAGTCCATGGTGCAAGACCTCTGTAAGCCCAATGAATATGAGCGCTACATGATGTTCATTGTTGACCTGGAGAAAGTGGTGAGCCTTCTTCTGTGCCTCTCCAGCCGCCTGGCTCGAGTGGAGAACGCTATGGAGAAAATAGATGAAAACACAGATGCTGAGGAGAAGGTAAGTCTCAACGCAGGCGCTGAAACTCAACTCTTCTAACCATTGACACTTCTGGTGGCCTCATCTTTATGGACATAAAGATATTTATAAACATAAATATCTAGACTTGTCCAGTTCCATGTTTGATGTTGTTTGTGGCTCAGTACATATCATGTTAACCAAGCAGGATTGGTTGTGACAGGGCCAAGCCCCCTACGTACTAATGCTAGTTACATTAGATGAGCACCTCGGTTAGGTGATGCTGGTGTGAAAAATAGTTTTGTAGCTGCCTTCCCCCCTCCACACACACACACACCCCTGATCACTGTTTTTCAAACATTGCTGGCAGCATCTGAGGCAAACCTTTCTTCTGCCCCAGGAGGGTGCTCTCCCAGTTCCCCAAGTTTCCTATTATGTGAAAGTAATGGGAGGGCAAGCAGGTGAATGATGTAGGTACGTGAATTGGTTTGTTTATTTTTCTTCAGCAATCCCTCAATGAGAGGCACAAGCTTTTGTCTAGGCAACGAGAGGATGCCAAGGATTTAAAAGAGAACCTGGACCGACGGGAAAGGGTTGTGTCGGGTATCCTTTCCAAGTACATGACAGAGAACCAGCTTCAGGACTACAGGCACTTTGTTCAGGAAAAGACTTCTTTGTTGATTGAACAGAAAGACCTTGATGAGGAGATTAAGTTTCTTGAAGAGCAGCTGGAGAGGCTACAGAAGAGCATCGCGCCTTAAGGCCAACATTGATAGGATTCCTGTTTTCACCATTGAAACACTTGTGCCAGACGTCTATCTGCATTCACGGACATATTGTTTATGGACTGAGCAAAACTGTATTTGATGACTTCACGCAAGCATCCTCTGCTTCTGAGTACTGCTAGCTGAGATTGTATACCTGGGACTGGATTCAGGGGTTTCCAAGTGCAAAGTTCCTTCCAGGTTTTTTCCTTGAGTCGACAAGGGCTTACTTGGCCTAGGCATACATCCATGGGAGACAATGACAAAACCTTTACTGTAGGTAGCTGATTTGACATTGAAATGACTGATGCTCTCTGCATGTCTCTGTCTGTGTGTATGTGTGCAGTCTTTCAATAATACTTCGATGTGTTGTTTTGTTTCTCTGCCAACTGCCAGTCTGCTTCCAGGCTGACATCACCCTAATAAAAACAGCAACAACAAAATTACAGATACGTTTTCCTCTTTATTGGTGGAAGGAGGATTTAAATGAGAGAAGATGTAGGCATTTGAATGTGGAATGAGAGACAAAGGACATTGACTCCGTCTGCCCAGCGCAACAGGCACTTTATCCAACCCTTGCTCCAGTTTAACCACAGAGGTTGCATCCTTGCTAATAAAAGAGCATTTGCAAAGCCAAGGCGACTGGTCTCGTAGGAACACTCATGAAACACAGCCCGGAGCGATTCTTTGCAACCATGCTGTGCAGAACGGACCTTGGAGAATGCCATGGGACTCACAAAAGCCCCCACCCGTACTTCTTGCCTGCCTTTCTTTGCTTCTTTCCTGCTACCCAACCAACTTTAGATATATAATTGGAAGACCACATGCTATTTCTCTTACACAGACTCTTTTTACCCTGCACTTTCAGTGAAAAAAGTGCAGAACTCTCAGTATCATAAAATGGACCAGCAGCAAAATGTTTATTTTTGTGTATGCTCCTGTGTGCGTGTGTGTGCGTGCATATACAGATATACATTTTAAAAGCATATATATATATATATATACACACACACACACACACACACAATATACAATATATATACAATATATCTGGGCTGATCTATGATCCTTTCTGGGTGACCTTGAGCCCGTTATGGTCTCTCAGTCTGACCAACCTCAGAAGACAAGGAAAAGAGCCCATGTAGGCCACCCCAGCACTTATAGAAGGAGAGGATATAAATGTAACAGATAAATAAAAAAACCATAATCCTGTCTCTCTTCAGTAGTACTGGCTCCAGGAAGGGGAGGGGGAAGAATTCTTGGACACAGAACACTCTGAGGTCTCCTTGGCTCATCTGAAAGTGGTGAGTTGGGTAAACAGAATTCTCCTGAGAGGCATCTGATCCCCTTGGTTAATCTGTGCAGAGAGAGGATGGGAGCCCTGTTAAGACATTGCGCCCTCTGCTGGTCTTTCCTGACAGGTAACCAATCCTGCCACCTTTTGGAACCAGTTTCCCTCCCCGCCCAGATACTCTAGGCTTGTGATTTTCTGAGTACTGCTGCCTAGAACCATTCAACTGGCAACTGCAGGAACCGAATCTAAGGTATTCTGAACAACAACTTTTCCAAGTCGTGTTAAAATACCAGGAAATTAAAGCTCTTCAGTTCCTATTTTCGTGCTTGAAACACTTTCGCTTTTCAGGAAATGTAAACAAAGATATAGGGCTGCATCCAATGTTAGCACCTACAGTAGAACCAATGGGACTTAAATCAGTGATGAATACTGTCCGATTCATTTCATTGGATCTACTTTAGGTAGGACTAACATTGGATTTTGCTCAATATTATAAGCAGGCTTTGTACTTCAGATCTTAGCTGAGGTGAATGCCATACATAAAGATGGACTGGACACTCCTGTTCTTGGGTGTAATCTGAGACAGACAGACAAAGAGATATAACAAAATTGTCTTTACACTAATTGCTCCTTAGAGCAGAACAAGCTTTCTACTTCCCCTGCTAAAAGGGGTGATTAGTATCAAAAGTTTTACATGCTTCAGCAGCTAGGCTACTAAAGTTTAACTTCATTAGAACTGGTTCTCCAAAGTTTCAGAGACAAAACTTCAAAGATCATAACTGGAGATGTCAAAAGACTGAATCCAATGTCTTCTGTAGTATAACACTTCTGCTCCTCCATGAGCTATGGCTAGGGATAAATAAATATTTCAATTTCGCTCTCATCTACAGTCTATTTTTCAAAGCCTTGGAAGGTTTTTTTTTAAACAGAGTTCAAGAAATTTTGAAAGATGAACCAAACAAAATTCCCACCTGTTTGCACAGGTAAAGTATAATAGATACAAGTTCTTTCCAGTACAGAGAGGATTATATTTTATTGCCTGCTGTGTAATTATTAATTATAAAGACCCCATCAGAAAAATTAGATGGCAATGCTAATTTGGCCCCCCAAAATGGTTTAATATACGGGATTCTAATTCAGACTCTTACAAGCTAAGTGATCAAAGCCCTCTTTCTGGGTGGATGAATAGGAAAGATTCAGTTTCTCCCACATTCTCAAGTTCTTTCCCTCAAATTAGGAAAACATTTACAAATTTGGGAAATTCTTCCCAAACTAAACTAAGTTTTACTCGTCCCATATGTTGAAACAATTACAGGAATTAATGTGGCATTTGACAGGGAAGTGCTTGGCTTATAAACCAATGATTCATCCGAGCAACAGGAGAGAAATAATATAGTGCAATTATTTTAAAAGTACAGAGTAATCGCTAGATAATTTTACCTTGCAAAAACACTGGCAGATGGTAGGGCTGCCGTTCTAGGAGTTCTTTCTAGGAATATTATTTGAAAAGTTCCATCATGGGAAGAAAGCCGTTGCTTGACTTTTAACTGCCTTCAATTTCTTGGGTGAAGTCGGACCGGAATAATACATTCAGTCCAAGCCTTCCCCCCCCACCCCAGTGTACACTGTTACCTTTGTGTTTTTGTTTTGTTTTGTTTTTGGATTTCAACTCCCTGAATTTTCCAAAAATTGTCCAGGCAAAACACCTTCATTTCATTCACCTGGATAAAGGCTGAGGCCTCATCTAGATCTTATTTCTTGCCCTCGTGTTTCCAGGGAGGAAGTTGCTGCTATGTTTCTTGAGGGTGGTAGGCTTGTCACCCTGTACGCTCAATGGGAGGAGCACCATCCCAGGCAACATTGGGATGGCTTCCTCCCAGGTAGTATTGCAGCAGGAAATGAAGGTGTATAATAGTGTCTCCCAACCTGGGTCCCCAGATGTTATTGGACTAAAATTCTCACCATCCTTCATCACCAGCTGTGCTGGTTCAGATTTCTGGGAGTTGTAGTCCAAGAACATCTGGGGACCCAAGGTTGGGAAAAACAGGCCTAGCAGAAAGCCTAGTACACACACACACACACACACACACACACACACACACACACACACACACACACACATGGTGCACTCCCACAGTTGAGTTCAGTATGGCTTAGAGTATCTGTATCTTGCGCACACTAAGGAGTAAGTACATAAGCACTTAACCTTCATTTCACTCTGGTGGACAAAGATGAACGGGATTTATGGACACTTAATTCAACATGGATATGAATAGAGCTGCACGTTTACTCTCTCCCTCAATAAGTTGTGATTTCAGCACTACCCTGTTAACCGGAGTTTTCTTTAACTGTAGCAATCTCTTGTAGCAATCCAATATATTATCTGGATCCAGAGTCCAGATTTGCATGTCTGAACATATTCAGCAATGATATACCAAGAGAGGTAAGTGTTCCCTGGGTTCTTCTCTGTTAATGTAGTTTAAGGCTGTCTCTTCCCCACCTCCATCATGTTCTATACGCAACATTAAACACATGGTTTAGAATCCTTTCCTGCTACTTTCCCCCAATAAATAGCAGCTATTCTGGATGCGTATAAGGGTTGTGGCGTGCATGGGGAGGTATTTTACTCTTTTCTCCCCACCACCATGCAAGTGATAAGATTTCCCTTCTTCCTCCCATTGCAGTTTGTCGTGGAAGAGCTCCCACTGAGGTGGAAAGGAACTTCTTTCTCATACTAAGTAGCAGTTGGGGGAAGAAGTAACCAGAGCGATCGATCATGCAGGACATCATTTGTGGGAAGAGGGCAACTCTTTGGAAATTGTAGATGGAGCTCCACGCTGCCTACAGAACTCTTTTACATGGAGGCTCTTGTTTCAAGCTCATAATCAGATTGCTGGATATACGCCTTTTCTCTCCAAATAATTTATTTGAAATCCTAATTGTGTTTGGTATGTTTTATGAAGACTGTTATATCAAAATATGCCTTTGCTTCATATGAAGATTCCCCACAATTATAAGAAAATTGGAATGATGTAAATAAATACGTATGGCATTTCTATTCATTTCACATGCATGGTGCTTTGAGACTAAATGCTGGCTTCATTGCACTATACCGTTCCAGATAAATACTATTCCAAACTGCCATATGGTGTGTTATTAATTGTTTGGCTACATTTTCCTTTCAAACACCCATCATAATTTACATATTTGTTGATTACTTTGAGTGCTTTTCTTTCAACTGAAGGACATGTAAAGAATGACAGCTATGAAAATGCAGATTTAGTTGTAGCAGGATCTACAGAAAGAGCAATTTGAGAATGAATTTACCTTGAGAGGATTAAGGGAGAGGCAGAATCTATCTCTAACATTGTGAGAAAGATATCTAGTCTTATGCAGAAAAGCACCAGTGAATTCAATAAGACAATGGTTCCCAACCTTGGGTCTCCAGATGTTCTTGGATTAGAATCATAGAATTATAAAATCATAGAATAATAGAGTTGGAAGGGGCCTATAAGGTCATCGAATCCGTGTGTAGGCATTCCTCAGTCTTGAGAGACTATGGTAACAGGCTCTGAATAGAATTCTTGGAACAGCATCTAGTGTGGCTGAGAAGGCCAATGCAAGACTGACAATCTCTTCCACGCTGAAGAAAAATACAATCTGTCCTCTGTCCAGCTCCCTGATTTTGCTGGTTTCAGGACTGCCTCTTTGCCTTGGCCTGCTGAACAAGGGTCTCTTCAAATTGGGAGAGGCCATGCTGCACCGCCTGCCTCCAGGGTGAACGCTCAGATAGATGTCAAGGTTTCCCTTCTGTTGAGGTCCATTCCTAAGGCCTTCAGATCTCGCTTGCAGATGTCCTTGGATCGCAGCTGTGGTCTCCCTCTGGGGCGATTTCTCTGCACTAATTCTCCATACAGGAGATCTTTTGGAATCTGACCGTCAGCCATTCTCACGACATGCCCAAGCCAATGCAGATGTTGCTGTTTCAGCAATGAATACATGCTAAAAATTCATTGAGACCATGCAGGATAGTGGGGGACTTGTGGGTTTCATCAGCATAAGGAGGACAGCAGGTTCTCTTCTCCTTACTCTAGATACTGTGGACAGCGACTCAAAACTACTGCCACTACTTAAGAGAGGATGGGTTCACAGCA